AAAATAAAAAAAAAAAAAAAAAAAAAAAAAAAAAAAAAAAGAAAAAAGCTAAACCCTAGGTTCTTACCTGTTTTCTTTCTTCTCTGATTCTAACCCTCTCCCATTTCTGTTGAAGCAGCACAGCCCCACCGGCTCACCCCCTTCTTTCTTCTCCTCCTCCTATCTACCTTTCTCCTGCGACCCTACGCTGCCTCGCCCATCCACCATCTTCTGTCGCGGCCCCTCCATCTCTCAGGCGCCCTTAGTTCAGGTCCGGTTGGATCAATTGCTTTTCTGTTCTTTTTTTCTTTTCTTTTTTTTTCCTTTTTTTCTTTTTTTCTTTTCTTTCGGTTTCTTTGGTTTTTCCATCTTCAAAATAGGGTGAATCTTCGACTAGGTTAATTTTAATTTGAAGATTTTTTATTTTTTTTGTATCAATACAGGATTTCAAATTAGATTATATTTTATATATATGAAATCAGTTTTTTTTTTTTTTTTTTTTTTTTAGGCGCGCGGTGGGTTGAATTTTATCGGCAATCATTTGTTCGCGACCCCAATTTTGATATTTCCACTTGTATTACTAATTGGTTGCTTGCTGGTGTTAATGCTTTAACTCGGTTAAATTAAATCATTTTCTACCTTATTGCAGGAATCATGGCGGATGAAGCTCAGAATGATGTGAACGATCAGGTGGCAGATGTGAGTTTTTGTCTTTCTTATCTGTTGTTTCCATGCACATAGCTATTGTTTTTTCCTTGCCTAAATCTGTGGGTTGGAACTCGATGGACCATGCACTTCTGTGTTTCAATACCCGGGGGGTGGGTAATTCATTTCTAGCATGTATATCTCCGGAAGTCAATTGTACTATTACTATAATTCGTTTCTATAATTACAGAAAAGGTTTACAAACTGTGGCCCATAGATATTATTCAAAGTTAAATGAGAAAATCGTGAACCATTGAATATAGTATACCAAATCCAACCAACAGAGCACCCAAAATCTAGTTACTTTAGGATGTGAACATAGCAATATAATTAAGTAGTAAAAAAACTGATTCAGAACTCAAATGTCTAGACCTGGCTAAAATGCATCGAATGTAACCAGAACAATTAGTATATAAAATAGCTTTGTTGTCTAGCCATGCCCACAACTAGCAACTAACTTTGATGTAAGGTTTAATTTAACTTACTCCTTGAATTCCCAGCAAAATCGGAAGAAACATTTTCGAGGTTCGGATTAGGTTGCCTCTGGGCCTTGTGTTCCAGTCATCAATGATTCCTCCAGTTTACTTGAATGTTATTCTAGTGGTTGTATGGTCTTGTTTTGATAACAGTCCAATTCAGTTCTCGAGGATTTTTTCTATTTGATTGTTTACTGGTGCTATGGATAAAAGCTGCATTTTTCTTTTGTGGAGTTTCCTTGGCTGGTATCTTACCATGTGTCTTTATCCAAACATTTAAGTAATTGTAATCTAGTGCAGTTTCTGAACCATTGTTCATGTGCAAGTATTGGTGCAACACCATGATGAATGTGTATGGTTTATTCCTTGCAGATTGCACCCTTTGATCCAACTAAGAAGAAGAAGAAGAAGAAGGTTGTAATTCAGGATCCGGCTGACGAGTCTGTTGACAAGTTAGCAGAGAAAACTGAAAGTTTGTCAGGTATGAAAGTTGACATTGCATGGTTGTTTTTTGATATTTTTATTTTGTTTGTATCTAAGGATTATTGGTTGATGGTTCTATTTAAATATTTTGTCCTGCAGTTTCTGATGGCTTGGAGCCTACCACATTTTCTGGACTTAAGAAGAAGAAGAAGAAACCAGTATGTTCTTATTTTTTTCTCTGTCTAAATGAAGCTCTATTTGGTGACTGATATCATTTGTTTCAATTGCAGGTAGAGGCCATCTCCTTGAACGACGACGGTGCAGATGCCACAGAGGATTTGGACGGTTAGCATTGCATATGTGAACTTTGTTATGTTTTATTATTTTCTTTTTCTATTTCATTTTATTACTTTTTTTTTTTTTTTTTAAATAACTTTCCTTATAAGCAGTAGGGGCACTTTATCATTATAGTCATGTGTGACTTGTGCATGAGCTGCAAACGAAATGGAAATACATTTTTTTTTTTTGTGTGGAAGAAAATGGAAGGCTTTTTTTTTCTGTTAGTTTTTTTTTGGGGGAAGGGTTCTCTCCATCCCTTGCCTTTATGTTGTCTTCCTTTTGCTGTTTTTAATATACAACTTTCTGTTTCACATAAAAAAAATAAAATAGTATTATGAATCATAAGATAAGTAAAAATTAAGGGATTAGAGCTTTTACAAGAGTTTGTGGAGAAAAATGAACATTTTTAGAATATGTTTGAATTTCTTTCTAAAAGATTAAAAAAATGAAAAAAGGGTTGGAGATGGCTCTACATGCGCCTCAAGCCCGCTTCATTAAGGGAACCTTGCTTCAGAAGCAAGGCACCTAGGTGAGGCACACTTTTTAAATCACTGTGCGTAAGTGGGCATGTATTTGTACAAAGTTTCTAGTTAAAAAAGGTTGTGTATGTAATCTGAAGCTAGTATAGGACATACTTTTCTGTTCAGCATCGCCTTCTCTCACCAATATTTTTCAGTTTCTTTGTCGATTGACTTTTTTCTTCAATTGAAAAGTGAGTATCATGGCCTTCCAGATCAATCAGGGGAGAACGAGGATCGAGAGGGAATTGTTCTACAGTATCGTTTTCCTTGGGAGGGAAGTGATCGCGATTATGAGTACGAGGAGGTATTGCTATGCTTTACAATTGTCAGATTTTTCCGTTATTTTATGCTCTCAATTAGTATATCATTTTGTATTGTAGGAAATTGATTTTTTGTTTGATTTCTTATTTAGTCATTCTTACAGTTGGTGTATCGCTAACTTTTTGCTGTTATTATGTAGTTTGTTATCTGTGGCCTTATCCATTGATTTTTATAAGAAACTAAACTATGTCAATGATATCAAAAGGTGGGTTCGTTCTTAGGTTATGCCTTGGGGGACTCCGTCCATTTGGATTTAATGTAAAGTTGTGCATGTGCCATTAACAAGAATCCAAATTCTAATGTTAATTATTAGTCTAGCTTGTGTGTCTGTGTGAGTCATGAAGATATTAATAGTAGGCTATGTGAAATGTTCCCCATGATGCATGTTATGATAATCAAAATATGAATAATCTGACGTGGTTATGCTTTTTTCCTTCCAAGGTGTGGAGTTGCCTTTTTTAAGAAACAATTTCGTTTATATATGAAATTTACAGAAGGGATGTTTGATTCATGGTGATTACAAAAGACCATCCCAATTAATTAAGAGGGAGACATAGCTATGGGAAGTAATAACATTAGACAATTTACATGAGGAAATTGCACGGTAAATAGCAAGATCAAAGAGCTTAGCATGGGATTGTTCCTTATCTAGGTAGACCCTTCAATTGTGTTCTTGCCTAAGAATCCAGAAAAAAGGCCTTCTTCCATAGCAAAGCTTTAGCATCCTTGAAGGGGTCGTGCTACGGAGATATGCAGAGGAAATCTTTGACCTTCCAAGGAAAAGTTAAATACAACCAAAGGCTTTGAGAGTTCTATTCCAGAAATGAACAAATGATTATGTGATTCATCATTAGTTTTGCCCACAAGGCACCAACTTGGGGACAAAGCCAATAAGGTTTTCTTAGGTTTTCTTTGGTGT